GCGGTCGCTGTTGTCGCCCTGCTGATGACGTCAGCGACGCGGTTTAATCGGGTGCGCTTTAGTCGAGCACAGTTTTGTCGTGCCACGCCTTAGATCTTACTCCATTTGATTCTGTAAAGGTAATTTCTTTCAACTGGGCCCTACAAATGTGTTGTACTGCTAAACCTCCAATGTTCCCAGTCAGCCTGGGCAAAAGACAACATTCAGTCCTGAATAAACCTTTCATTTATATCAGCAGTGGGAAGTGAACCATAGTCACTGTCTGACTGAAACAACAGAGGCTTCTCAAGGTAATGAAAGTACAGCTACACTTTCTATATATATATTGTTTCTCACACCATTTTATTGCATTCATGCATTCAGTGTTATATATCACTAATTACTGAAGTGTTCACAAGATAATTTCTACACTTACTGAGTTGTGTTTAGTTAAATGGTTGTTAAATAAATTACAACTGGCTATGATTATTATTGTACTGTATAAATATAACATAGTTGACTTTATATCAAAATCAAATCACCTTTTAAAACATGTTACATACATCACTTAGAGAAACTCAGCAGAATACACAATGAAGCCTACACAAGCTTGTGTCCCTTTTGTAGATAAAGCTTATTTCGATTAACAAGTTGTCATCAACCTGTCATACTTACGGATCATTAGATTTGGGGATTAGGGTCCCCAATTCTTTAATTCGGTCATTTATGTTAAACCGACGACGACGTTCAACTGCAAAAAGAGAAAGTTGTGTAAGAGGCAGAGGCCCCCTGCTTTTGCTACATCTATTAATAATAAACGCATATAATGTCTTAATTTTTCCAGCATCCAAATGAACCTCTCAATATTCCTTAGATAAATCGCCCATTATGCCAAGTTACCTTCAAAGTTAGGTATATATTGTGATTGTATGGAATTATTCTTGGGCCCAAAATTCAACTTCCAGATTCTTTAAAGGCAAAGGTTCCCAGCCTCATGGTTCTAAACATATATTTTGAAACACAGTATAAAGGCAAAATGTCAAAAATCTCAACCCACATGAATCTGCTTTAAGTTCTTCTGAGGCTGTTCTCCAAGGGCTTCTGTTATTCAAATAATGCCACTGAAAAGTAGAAAGGGGGGGGGTTTCTAAGCAGGGGTGTATCTTTAAAGAGAACTCAGATATACTGCAATCTTTTTCAAAGCAAGCAAAATATTTTATTTGCCCAAGTATTTTAACACTACGTTTTTAAATTGGGAGGCTGGCTCTTAGTAGTAACATTAAATTACAAATAATTTTGATCTGGCCTGAAACGATTAAATAGGGCAATGACAGACATATAACTATTCTTAAAAATAAAGATGCAAATTATTTCAGTGGCTGGAAAATAGGGCTCTCTTTATTCATTATTCATAATCAACAGGGAACTAAATTATGCACAACACAAACTATTCAGTGAGCCAGTTTAATGTAGTAGTTAAGACATCAGACTAAAAATTGGGAGGTTGTGAGTCCTAGTCTGACCTTAGGCACAAAGACAGCTGGATGACCTTGGCCTAGTCATTTTCAACCTTAGAAAAGAGGCAATGGAAATTCAATTCTGAAAAAACTTGTCAAGAAATCTGCAGGGATTTGTCCAGGCAGACTCTGGGAATTGGACACAACTGAATTGTGTATCCAATACTGATTGCTATTTTATTTATTTATTTTTTAATTTATATCACACCTTTGTTATATTTATAAAGAACTCAAGGCAGTGAACAGATCTAATGTTCCTTCTTACTCCTATTTTCCCCACAACAACTCTGTGAGTTGAGTTGGTCTGAGTTGAGTTGAGTGCCTGGCCCAAGGCCACCCAGCTGGCTTCCATGGCTATACTTTTATTATGTTTACTATTTACATTCTTAGCATAGGTAAAAGAGAATTTGACAACCAGACAAATTATTTGGGTATTAAAGTTTCTTTACCATGTGGAATGGGAAAAAGGATTAATTACCCTTAAGATTAGTTGTTCTGTTTGCTTCACCTAACTAAAACAAACGAAACAGGATATTGGTATCAATACCCCCTGTGGGGAGGTAATTGAGTAATGGATGTCCGGTCTCTGTTTTGGGAGATTGTGTACAAGGTTTACATGACACAGGAAGGGCGTCTACATGACACAGGAAGGGCGTCTACATGACACAGGAAGGGNCTAAATCTAACCCTAAACCTAACCCTAAACCTAACCCTTAACCTAAGACTAAACCTAATCCTAAACCTAATCCTAAATCTAACCCTAAACCTAACCCTAAACCTAACCCTTAACCTAACCCTAAACCTAACCCTAAACCTAACCCTTACCTTAACTTGAATCGGCTTGCTTTCAAAGCGCTATTTAAAGCGCCCTTTTTTCTCCGCGCTCGCTGTTGTCGCCCTGTTGATGACGTCAGCGACGCGGTTTAATCGGGCGCGGCTTAGTCGAGCACGGTTTTGTCGTACCAGGTATGCGAAGAAGCTTGAAAATAGCAAAGGGGGGGATGTGTTGATGACAAAAATGTGTCGCAGAAAGAAACAAGGCACATCCACAATTGTGTAGTAAGTTAAAAGAAATCAAAAGTAGAAAACAGAGGCAATAAATATTTAAAGCCAAGACGAAGGATCATAATAAAAATGTATGTTTAGAGCGAATGCATCTGCTTCCTAACAGCTGGAAATACCAATTTGCCCAGGATAAAACCAACAAGGATAATCTTATAGCACCTTGAAGGTTAATCTTTATGGCAAGGGAGAATGTAATTAACTCCCCAAAATGTTGGCAAGTGTATATACATGGCCATAAGAATAAGGGAGAAAATACCAGGGATAAGGCAGCTAGGAAGGCAGCCTAAGAGGATTCAGTTAAACAATGAAAAATAAACAGTGCCATCGTAGTTTGCAAAGGACATATTAATTTGCCAAACAGGGGTCAGAATTTCCATTTGCTTATGTATGACATCCTCATTCTTTGCTAGTGTGAGTTTCCCACAGCTGTCCTAACATACAGAGCTAGTTTAATTTACATGGAGATTATGCTCACGATTACAGTCCCCTAACAGATTGCTCAACTTTTCATCCCTGCAGTAAATCCATCGAGACCTGTAAGTTATTTATCTAGGTTTACAGTGTTTTTAAGGGCGGGTTATATGCAAGAAAACAAAGGGGGCTAAATGAATTTCTCAGGCATCCCATGAGCGCCCTCTGGTGATCAGAAAGCAGAGCATCCGTAATACGTTATTTCTGTTTGCTACATAATCAACGTCAAAGATTCATTGGTTGCAAGGCAGAGGGCTTTAAACTTTTTAAAAGGATCATATCGTTCCCCTTTGTCTTTCTTGGCATACAGGAAGTTTTTATATGGCATTTCTGGCCTTCCATGTTATTTTATTGTATTTCACTTTGTATTTGATGGCGCCATAAGGAATTGCATGCCAAAACATCTAAACACAGTATTACCCTACTGTAGTATTATTATTCATCCTTCTTATTATCTTCTTTACTTCTTTACTTCTCCTTTTATTGGCATTATTATTCTGTTGCTTTGCATGCACATTGAGTGCTTCCGTACCAGAGACAAATTTCTTGTGTGCCTAATCACACTTGGCCAAATAAAGTATTCAGTTCAACTCAGCTCATTCTCCTGTGTGCTGCTTGGGGAATCCAAGCATGGGTTAACTTTGTCCATTAGCCTAGAGACTGAGTTATATAAAACTCAGCTCAATTTGTTTCCAGTTTCAGAAAATTGTAACCAACTTATTTTAGATGTATGCACTGTGTGTAGTACTACTAGGCAATGTCTCTTTAAAGAAAGTTCTAATCTAGAAGATGATGCATGATGATGGCTTCTTGCATTGATTGCTGCTTTCAAGTATCAGAAACTGCTTTTTAATGGAAATATTTGGATCAGAGGTGTTATTCAGCAGGTTTTGACCAGTTCTGGAGAACTGGTAGCGGAAATTTTGAGTAGTTCAGAGAAGCGGTAAATGCCACCTCTGGCTAACCCCGCCTCCATCTATTCTCTGCCTCCTGAGTCCCATCTGATCGGGAGGGAATGGGGATTTTGCAGTATCCTTCCCCTGGAGTGGAGAGGGAATAGAGATTTTACAGTATCCTTCCCTTGCCACGCCCACCAAGCCACACCACGCCTTTACCTTAAGTATATTTATAATACTTACTAGCTGAAGGACCAGTTTGATATAGTAGTTATGGCACTGGCCTTGAAACCAGAAGATTGAGTTGTAGTCCTGCTTTAGCATGAAAGCTGGCTGGGTGACTTGGGTCAGTCATTCTCTCCCAGCCCAACTTACCTCACAGGTTGTTATAGGGAAAATAAGAGGCAGGGGCATTACGTATGTTATCAAGAGCCATGGTGGCGCAGTGGTTAGAGTGCAGTACTACAGGCTACTTCTGCTGCCAGCACTTTGGCAGATGGAATCTCACCAGGCTCAAGGTTGACTCAGCCTTCCATCCTTCCGAGGTGGGTAAAATGAGGACCCAAATTGTTGGGGGCCATAGAGAGGGCTGTAAAGCACTATGAAGCGGTATATAAGTCTAAGGGCTATTTGCTATCTTGAGGCAGGATATAAAGCTAAATACTTGCAGAATGCACCGCTTATGATTAGACAAAACATTACTAAGAAATAATACATACAACTATGCCTAAACAAAGATATTTTATAAAATTTGAAGTTAATGTCTAATATTCTGCCCACCCATGAATGACTGGCTAAGAATAAGTCAGGAAAACATATCAAGAATCTATAAAAACATAGAAAATAATGAAGAAACTATAAACTTGTAACTATTTGAATATTACAGGTAGCCCTTGACTTTTGTTTTAATGACCGTTGAAAGTTACAAGGGCACTGGAAAAAGTGACTTATGACAATTTCTCACATGAGACCCCATGGACACGTGATCAAAATTTGGATGCTTGGTGCTGACATATTTATGGCAGTAAAAATATCCCAGGGTCAGGTGATCACCTTTTGTGACCTTCTAACAAGCAAATTTAATGGGAAAGCCAGATTCACTTAACAACCATGTTACTAACTTAACAACCGCAATGTTCACTTAACAATTGTGGCAAGAAAGGTTATTAAATGGGGAAAACCTCACAACCACCGTTGGAGCCGAGGTGGCGCAGTGGTTAAATGCAGCACTGCAGGCTACTTCAGCTGACTGCAGTTCTGCAGTTCGGCTGTTCAAATCTCACCGGCTCAGGGTTGACTCAGCCTTCCATCCTTCCGAGGTGGGTTAAATGAGGACCCGGACTGTTGTT